ATAATTTATTCAACCTCGATTTGCAATGAGACTGCCTCCTTCTGCTACATGCAGTAAATCCCCCACATAGCAGCCTCTTTTTTTTATAATTTAAAAAAGTTAAAATTAAATTACCACTTGAGTGACTGGCAAATATCTACTGCTGTATTATGCAGTATTAATAGGAATGTGAAAAAATGCAAGCAAAGATGTGTTAATCCTAGAGTCAGTAAATACAATGTAAATCAGCAACCTGCTTGCATATTGAATGCATACCGTGTTGAAAAACAAAAGGTTAAGCAAGAAATTTGGACAGAGAAGTGGGATTTCTAAAATTTCTATTTGCTTATAAAATACAGAAAGATTTTAAAATATTATTCACTACTTGAAAAGAGAATAGGAAATAAGGCAAAACTCATTCTCCAGAAACTCCCTTAACATTTCTAGATAGAAAGATTACACATTTTATCTGCTTTGCTACCAACAAAACATTAAAAATAAATGTTTCCAAGCAGCGAGACTTTCTCCCTTTCATCTCAAACTCAGAAATACCTACACTGTAAATGGCACAAAATTCACAATTATGTTCTTGCAGTGATTGACTGGATTCTTCATAAAAAATTTACTACTACGGGAAAGTATCTATGTCCTCCTGGAAAATACAGAGAGCTGTACGCTGCCTGAAAAGAAAGACACGAATTGCAAAAGCTTGCACCTTGTTGCTAAACAATAGAATAAAAATAATAATATATATATATACACATATATTCTATGTCGGTTTCAATGCTTGTGTAGCCTGGGTGCTCACATTCAGATCTCTATTATTTCATTTGTTTTCCTCTCTGATTTAACATCTGCCCAGAAACTGTAGACGTCTCCCCTCTGGATGCGTTCAAGGCCAGGTTGGTTGGTGATTTGAGCAACCTGATCTAGTGGGAGGTGTCTCTGCCTATAACAGGAGGTTTGGAACTAGACGGTCTTAAAAATCCCTTCCAGCCCAAAGAATTCTATGATTCTTGCATGCATAAGAGCTTTTTTTCTTGTCAGTGGCCATGGTCAGATTTTGGTCCATAGTAAGGATTTGCATTATTTACAAATATATGTATTTATATTTATGTATATGTATATATATATATATATTTATATACATATATGTATATATATGTATATGTTACAAACTGCATTTTGAACCTGAGATCAGTAAGTAACGGTGCAATAACTTGGTTAACCTCGTTCAAAAATATTTACATATGTCAGTGGCTCTTCTCACTAACCTAAACATAGCAACTTCCAGAGGTCTAAGGTTTACATTTCCATTATCCAGTCTGGAAGTGACTTCACTGAACAAATTGCTGACAGTCCTAAGGACAAGATCAAAGGCTTAGTGGAGGCTTAAAGGAAGACACAGAGCTGTCCTCTGCAGTATGGTGATCCTACTGCTTCAGCTGAGTGCTGAAGAACAAAAAGAGTAGAAGCTGATATGGACGCTTAAAGTAAATTTGGTTTGTACATACTGTGTGAATAGTACTTTTAATAGCCTGGGAGAGGCTTTAATTCACTGGATAATTTTGTTGCATTTCATGCCACCTACTCTTGAATTGTGAAAGAAAGCCATCTTTAATGGTATTTGCAGAAGCATGACATTGTCCTGGAACACTTTTAATATCCTCATATGAAGTTTTCTTCAACAAAATCAGGTTTCATGTTTTTGGGAGGATTTTATCTTGTTTTATCTCAAGGAACAAAACATGCTGAATAAAAGGGGACTGATTGCATTAAATTCACTTGGAGTTAGACTTAGATCATCCCAAGCAGAATGCAAGAATGAGGGGGAGGAGACTCACTCTGATTTTGTAAGTTCATCTCAGTTTATACACTAAAGGTAAAGCAGGAAATGAAACACAAATAACACCTAAGTCTGTTTAAGTTAAAACTTTCTCTTCTCTCACCTCTTCACCCACTATCCACACTTCAGTGCCTCAGTTGTTACTGGTAAATCGCAGTCACCAACAAAGGACAAAGGTTTGATACATTCTTTTGGTTAGTTTAACTACGTCTACAACAACAGTAAAATATGTTTATTATTATTATTACCAAGGTGTGTATGTCATTTTGTTTATTTTAGAAGCCAACCTAGCAAAAATGTTACTTGAGAAAATAACTAGCAATTAAGATTCGTACATCAGTTATTCCAGAAATGCAATTCTGCATGCCTTCTTTAACACCCATCTCTGTAAGAGTCACTAAAATAACTGCTTCCTTCAAAGGGTAACTTTCTCAGTTGATAAAGGCACTTTAAGTAGACTGGAACCTTCTAGCATTAAGCTGGAAGAAGTGTTAAAATGTTACAATTGAATATACTTGTCTGCTTCTATTCAAAAGAGATCTGTCATTTTTACAAAAGGATAACATCCAGCAAATAACTCTCTGCCCTGCAGAAAGACACATTTCCAGCTATAAATAATTCTTTCATTCTCTGATAATGAAAAAGAATCTATGATAGACAGCAAGTTAAAAATCAAAAACAGTTCAATTGATAGGATTAAAAAACAGTGATATTTATAAATCGTCACATAAGTGCTTGCAACCTCTTTTAAAGGTGCAAGGGACCTGGTTTAGCAGTATTTACTTTGTATATGAGACTAACTTTATTATTGGAAAAATTATTGCAAATATAAAAGGCAATTTTTTTCACATATCAAAAATATTCCCAGAAATAATTCCAGGAATACAACTAAAGTATTTCGTACTAAATTGTTAAATTTAATCACCAAAGTAATTTCTGAATAAAAACTCTTCTCACTGCCATAACCACTCTGGCAGCTTTTCCATATTTTCTGTAGCAACAACAGAAAAAAAAAAAAAAAAAAAAAAAAAAGAAAAGAACTCCTATGGAGTTTTCAGGCCAACTTGCTTGTATAAAACTCAAACTGATAGATTTTTTTTTAAAATTTATTTAGTTAATATTAGATTTTGCATGTAAAGGCTCATCCAAATAAACTACTTTCTCAAACATCACTGGATAATTGAGTTGGATGGATCTACTAAAGGTAACTAAGTCCTATGTCCAGCTCAAAGCAGGATGAACACTGAATTCAGATTTCTTCACTCTATAATCCATTAAATAAGTGATCCCAGCTCCTCATTACATGCCTTTAATGCCTTTGCTTTCTCCATCCTGCCCTCCATGCAAACCCTTCTCTGGTCAATGCAAAACCTAGGAAGAAATAGTGTCCTGCCAACATATTGGAAATACTTGGAATAGATCAAGAAAATGGCAGGAAAACGGGAGAGAACAACACATATCAATATTCATAATAAGCTAGTAGCAAAATTGCTCATTAGGGTCTGCTATAAAAATCAGTGGTAAAAAATAAAAATTAACAACATAGGTTAAAAACTGGCTAAGAGAATTAAGAATACACGAAATATTGTGTCAAGCCTGTTGCTATCACCTGAATAGAACAGTGTTAGAAGATGGATAGACCACTTAGTACATATTAAATGCAGGGCTTTTTTCTGCATCTTTTCCTGATATATGAGATAGTGATCACTGATGAGAGTCAGTTTACCGATTTGTCTAGTTCAGCACAGCATTACTTGTCTACTGAAGAAAGAATAGAAGATGAGGGAAGACAATATCTGCCACAAGTCATATCTGGGGTTGATGTGTCACTGAAATAGCTAGTAGTCTGAAACTTATTGAGACATCTGCATTATGTGATTCTCATGATTCTCATTATGTAATGAGATTCCTATCCAGAAATCAAGGACAAAATGATCTGGATAATTTAAAAATAGTATTTATGAATACAATTGTGGAAAAAAAATCTTAAAGTTTGATTTTTAAAACAAATACATGTAAAAAGGTATTCTTTAGCTGGGAATACTATAGTCCTCTTCATAACTACACAGGTACTTAGTTGCATAAACTGAGAAAACGTGAACAAAATTACTCTGCTGCAAGCTTTTTGGATCAGTGTTTGTGTGTATGTTCCTGATTCCATGGCTGGCACTTTCAGTTGCTGGTTTGTTATAAATAGAAATTCTCCTATTCATCATTTTCTATAGTTCTAATTTAAGAATTTATTAGGTAGCCAGGGAACAAAAAAATCAATAAAACCTGACCTGAATGAACCAGTTATTATGCACAGCAAATCGCTGAAGTTTGCATTTTTCAACAACTTGAAGATTTAACTTTGAAAATAAGTTTTAAAATGTTCATCCAAACCAATCATGATTACTTATGAATAATGGATGTGTCTGAAGAAAACAACTCTGGTTTCAAAGCAACTTTCCATAGAAAAAGATCATAAAATTCATTAGATAATGCACCTCTACTACAGCAATCTGTCTAGCTCTCAGTTGCAGAAGATATCTATACCAAACTTGGCTGAATCACCAAGCAGGATGGCATCGTCTGACTTCTGATGCCACTGTTTGTGTCATACTCACTCTATTATACAGCCACTGTCAACTCAGCACTTCTCAGGAACACTGAATGCACCAAAAAAGAAGGAATATCATCTTCTCTAGCCCTCCTTCTCAAGTGCTTCGCTCTACGTAAGTTCTCTCTCTATGTTTCACATTTACAAATAGCAGCTTATTCTCGCTGAGGTATTTGTCCTACATTCACTGCTGCCTCAGCTTCTGGTTATCAAATGTAAGCCTATAAAAGATGAGAGATTCACAGCACAAGAAATAATTCTACAGAACATAAAATTTTACATGTTAACCCTTGAACTATCATCTCAAAACAAAAGAAAAAAAAAGCAAACTTGCTAAATTTTTTTTTTTACACATGAGAAAATGAATTTCTCTGTTTATCAGCTAGCTAAAACAGAATCATCAAATTAACCTGTAAATATCAATGGATTTTAGAATCTCTTGAGTATTGTGAAATACTGACAGAACCACAAATGTTCAGAAGGAAAACAGCATAGTAGAAGACGATAAAGATATAGCGTGACTGCTTTCCACAGAATTAAGGATTGAGAGAAATTACTTAGTTAACTACTTACCATAGTCATTATCATAAAAAATGATGAACTTCTGCCAGGCATATTCTGTGATCACTCTCAAGATGACATCATTTAAGTAGACAGGGGGGCGGACAGAGAGCGTGTAGTCATCATTGCGGTTGCTCCTGGTGAGCCCACAGCTGCTTCTTGGCGTTCCTCCTGTTGAGCGCTGGATGAAGAGGTGAGGGATGTGCATGGCATCTGCCAGTGACTGCAGGGAACCTGCTGATGTGCAGCCAATGGAGCTCACAAGGGCCAGGATGCCTTGGTTCATGAGGTCACAGGCTGTAAGAAAACACAGTAAAGTTCAAGATGAGAGCAGTTCAGTGTACAGGGCCTATTTTTGCTGCTGAAATGCAGACACTGGGCACTGAAATACATTATTTTCAATCAAGCGAAACATGGATAAAATTTTGTATGTTGAGTAATTCATGAAGTCATAGGGTTTCTATGTTCCCTTTCAGTTGTCTTGGAGTAAAAGCTGAAAGATTTCCTCTTTCACCTTGCCCAGAAGTGAATTATGTCTTCAGAATGGAATCTAACTCCTGAACCTTTTGAGGAACGTTGAGAGCAAATTCTAGCTACAAAATTAACATGACTTGGCAAGTAGATAAGCACTTTTCTGTCTAGTACAACAACTCCATGGATAGCATCTCTGTATCATAAAAAGAAAACCTGAAGAAATAACAAGTGTCACTGTCAACTTCAAAAACAAACAAACAAACAAACAAAAACAAAACAAAACAAAACAAAAAAAAAACAGAACAGGATTAGGTACATTAACTTTGCTAAGCAAATAACAGGGTTGCTATTGGCTTTTAAGAGATGTATGAAATAATCTTATTTAACTTATCCTTTTTATATGTGTTTTCTTTTCCTTAAAGACTAAAATAAAACATTTTCAAAACTCAGTGAACAGTTTACGTGCATTCATTCTCCTCACTTTCTTAAGAAAGACATGGTGTTGCTTATACAAAAAGCACCCTGTAACTAATTGTTCAGTTAATAGTAGCTGATTTACAAGCAGACAATCTGAAGTACAATACAAATCACAACCATATTAATACCAGAGATGTTTATCGTGATTAATGTTAATGCAATCAATAAATACCAAAAGAATTAACAATGATTAGGTCTGTAATTCTGAAGAATTACCCTGTGAAACAAAGCAGAGTCAAGTGTTTATGTTGGGTTTCTAATAGAATTGAGAGCTTCAATGAGGAAGCAATTCAAGCTTGTAGCACAATTCCCCAGAGTACACCCAAAGCCAAATTCTGAAATAGTCAGTTTGCACTGGCAAAGCTGCATATGCACTTAATCTGTATATACACGTGGAAATTAGATAATGGGATGGTAAATAGAATCATAGAACCATAGAACAGTAGTATGCATTTACCTATGCACATCTAATATTAACCTTGCAATTACTTATCTTTCACAACAGGTGCAAGCAAAACAGGAAACCAACATATGAGAATATATTCCCTTAAAAATATAAAAACATACCCTAGTATATAAGACCTGTTGTCTTATATCATATGTCTCTTACTCACAATGAGCAATGTTTTACTCCACAAACACTTATTATTGATTGAAATAGGAATATTTATAGCATGAGGAATGATTCAACTTGAATGGAGTAACTGCAGGCTCATGGGGAACATAACTTTCTAGCCAAAGGATGGCACTGGAGATCTTAAATGCAGAGAAACATCTTCTTAGAAATACAGCACACTATTCTCATCAAGATAGTGAGATATGGAACATGATACCACTGAGGCTCTAACTGATAGAAGCTTTGTATTTGCTTTGAGCACAGCACAGCTTTTGGGTCAGCTGCTGGGCTTTAGGTTAAAGGTAATAATGGATTATTAACACTCACAACTAATCTTCTCCAGAAAGTTATAAAAAAAATCAGTGCATCACAAGTTTCTAATATTCAAAACATCTTAAAGTTCTCATAGCATCCTAGGTGAATAGCCTGCTTGCTTACATTTCTCATCATCCTCACTCACAAGAAGGTAAAGTTTGTCGCACTGCTTAGGTAGCTTCTGAATCTCTTTCCTGATAGAGTTTTTTTTTTCCCATAGATTACTGCAATTTCTAGGTTGCATATTCTGATGAAAATGCTAGTGCTTGAGAAAAAAAAAAACAAAACCAAAAAGCTATTTTTATTGCTATATCAATCAATATCCATCAATAAATATGTAGAGCTACTTATATTTCAATAGTTATCCTTCCTGCTAAATATCAATGAATAAAATCAATGCTAGATTTTGCAGAAGTCTGCTTCAATTCAACAAAAATGTAGTACTAGAAAGTCCTGATACCACCCAATTAAATAAAATATAGAGTGTGACATTGCTGTTTCTCAGACATATTTGAAAATATATCTGAGTCAGCCCACGTTGCAAAAATAGCTCGGAGATGTGTACATTTACAGGCACACTTTCAGACTGAAAATAATCAGCACACTCACTGTAACACCAGGTAGTGGGAAACATGTTATTGAAATATGAAGGGGAAGAAAGCAGCAGGGAACATTTAGCTCCACAGGGTCAAATGCTAATATCAGCAAACAAAACGTACAAAGGCTTAAAACCTTCTCTTTTGACACTGATCCATGTTTGATTGTTACAATAGCCTCAGGACTGAAGCTGCCCATTTAGATCTTTCTTCCATGGTATGTTTGTGAGAATTGTATGCACTGGGGTTGGGGCAATATGCACTTAATTATGCTTGCAAATTGAACTTATTCCTGTATACTTAGCGATTGTACTGTATAATACAGAGAGTTAGACATTGGAAAAAGGGTTGTTATCTCAGAAACAGTTTTTCTAGAAATTTAGTGAATGAGTTGCAGAGATAACCCCTGAGTCAGAATATGACTTTATTCTTTTTTGAACAGAAACATAATTTCTATAATATATATAAACAGAAAATAAAGTTTATACCTTATCACAGAATTACAAATGTCATACTATCATGTACAACATCTGTGTACTTCTTAGCCAAGCAGAAATTCTGTTGGATCCAGCAGAAGTTACTTGGTAAAATGTGAGACTGAGTTCTACGTGTTTTCTTAGCCCCTTTCCTTCCCCATCATCAAAAGCTTAGTTGGATCTTTCACCTAGTAATTAAAATCTTGCCGCTCTTATCTTAACAATGCATTAAAAGCTCTGGTTCAAACAAACTGAAAATCCTGTTTGCACTTTTTTGAACCTGAAATATTCAAGTTATGTTTTAACCTGTGCTAAAAAAAAAAAAAAAGTCCACATGCACAGACACACACACACACACATAATTACTTAAATGCTAGTTTGCCTTTCAAAACTGATACACTGAAGTCACTATGATCTTAAAGATCGTATTTTCAAGCTGATGCTTGATTTACTGCTGATGCTATCAGTTGTATTAGCTTACCACCAATTAGAGATACAAAAATATTTATGTATCTTTTAAGGCCTCTCTCAGGACAGGAGAAATGTCAAGTTCAAATAGACTTACATACTCTTCCATTGCAAACTCAATAGTGAAGGAACAGAGAATAAACACTACTGTTTCACAGCATGAATTATCTCTACACAGAAGTTGTACAGACATTAACTCACTCTCCTAAGCACCAGGTAGCAGATGCTATTGAAAATTGTATCTTCAGCAGCTGAAATTATAAAATTGTCCAAAGATTTTTAAATATCATGTAGAGAGGATACTGAATGCCTACAGAATAATATAAAAGGTTTCTCTATTTTAGATACACATACAGACTCTCGTACAACACATGCTTACATACACACAGATTTACATTTCACTCTTCAGTTTATCTTGTCTTTCTCTAAATGCAAAGTTACTGAATTTCAAACACTGATAGCCTGATTGTCAATTAAAAATTACAACATCTTTAAAAATCATTATTTTTTAGTAAAATCCCTTCTAATTTAGTTCAGCATGCATAGCAGAAATGCTAAGTCACAGCCTGAACCAGTAACTGAGCAACTGGGTGGGAAGGCAGGGCCAACTCAGGGGAGCTCAGATGCATGCAGTGTACCTGAGTGACCAGAAGGGGTGGATCCTGGCTCCAGCCCTTCCCAGACCTCACATAAGGGTTGGCAGTGGAGGCTAGGTTATCTTGTAGATCTCTGCATCCCTGAGGCCTTCCAAAAGTAAGCAGCTTTTGTCCTTTGCTTCTGTGTCTGTGGCTGCTGCATTTTGACTTGCCCTCACTTGCTACAGCCTAGGCTTTGCTACCCAACTAGTATTGCTGTACTTTACATTGCATTGTAACATTACAGCATGGCATGTAAAGAAAAAAAAAAAACACCTAATTTTGTGTCCAGTATGATATTTTTTGAAGTAAAGACCACAGCCACTGCAATTTAAAATAAATAAATTACATCTAAACACTTCCAGCAAAGCAGATTTTCAACAGCCATAGTTACAAATATATCCTTAAAACGTTTATTGTAAGAACCTAACATTGTATCTGTTTTAGAAATAACTACTGGTTGCTGTAATTCAGGAAAACAATTAACTCCCATAATTAAGACTAAACTTAAAAACAGATGCACGGATGTGTAAGAAATAATAAAAAAAGACTACTGAGAATCAGCTCTTGCAATTTGTGACAGTTTTCTTTCTCATTTTTCACTTTTTTTTTCTTTAATAATAAATCTTAACATATCAGTCTCACACACAACAAATTAAAAAGTCAAAGTGAAAAGGTTATCATGAGATCTCGTCATCAGTAATGGCCTTACTTTAGTCTCATTTAATTTGCTGATTACACAAAAGTAACTACCCGATGAATCACTGCTTACCTAAAAGGTTGCTCAATTTGCTCCCCATTTCAACACAACAGCCAGGAAACATTCACTCAGGTCAGAGAGAGAATCACTGAATCACCCAGATTGGAAAAGATGTTAAAGATCGAGTCCAACCACAATCTAACCATATTACCCTAACAACCCTCTGCTAAATCGTGTCCCTGAGCAGCACATCCAAGCAGTTTTTAAACACATCCAGGGATGGTGACTCAGCCACCTCCCTGGGGAGCCTATTCCAGTGTTTAAGAACCTTTCCATAAAGAAGTGTTTCCTGACATCCAACCTAAACTTACCTTGGTGCAACTTAAGATCATTTCCCCTCATTCTATCACCAATGAGAAGAGACGAATCCTGCTCTCACTGTAAGCACCTTTCAGGTATTTGAAGAGACCAGTAAGGTCTCACCCCATCTCCTCCAGTTTCTCCTTGAAAGGCATATTCACCAAACCCTTCACAAG